GCAATATCTGCTCACGTCAACGCCTCTTCATATATAATAACAATTGGTTTTGACATCTTGATATTTTCATATCAAACCTCTCTTCATGTCTAAGCATTTTCGTATCTCTCAACAATAAATCCTTATCTAACGATGTCTATTAAATATTTCTACAGTAATACTCTTCGCCATTTCCCTGGAGCACTGCCTCTTCCTACTTATTAACCTATAACGTCTCTACTGCAGCAAGAAAAATAAAATCTTTTACTGTGATTGGTCCTTTTTGTTACGCAATCGATTTCTCTGCCACCTGTTCAGCTGACAAAGAGAAAATTAGATTCATTCATTCTCTCATGCAGACATATGCTACATAACGGCTTAAAGAAATAGTGAACGAAAGAGAATTTTATTATTAAGTTTGTAAGAATGCCAATAGATTAGTATGTCAAAAAAGTCATAAATTTCCATTACAGGTATTCTCTAAGCCGTAGCATCGGGCCATAAAAAAAAGGAAATTAACTGAGCGCATCCTACAGCCAATCAGGTCACGCAGAAACTATGACGTCAGCAACAGTTGATCTCAGAAAATCTACATTAGTTTTTTTTTTTTTTTTTTTTTAGAATTTAGGTGAACAAAGATGATTGTAATCAAGTGGGAAATTGACAGCTTTGAAGAGCAGTCAGCTAGTGTTTGTTTCAAAGTAGGGACCTACAAACAAAAAAATAACGACACTTATGATTTTAAATGAATTTTTAAAAAAGGAAAAATTTTTCTTGATACTTTTATTTTACCTTTAATTTCAAGCTAATAGATTAAATTTAATATTTCCAATGAGCAAAATGCTTTGCTGTATTTCAAAAACTAATTTAAGTTGACTGGAAGAAGAGTTTTAATTTGATAAAATAGATGACTAAAGCCCTTTTTAGTCATCTTTCATTAAAATGTAATTCTCTTTAATAATGAAAAAAAAAAGTCTAAAAGTGAAATATACTTTTCTGAAACTTTATTTGAGGAATATTAGTTGATTTAAACTATAATTAATCTGATTTGAAACAAATATTAGTATAGGTTATCAGCCACACAGAGTTTACCGACTATTTTGTGTTAGGAAGAATAACGTGTTTTAGTCTTCCAGTAGCACACCGAGTACAAATATTAGCATTAGCGTAGCCATTGATACACTAACACTGAATGCGAATATAAAAAGACGAGATACGCGACCATAACAAACAAAACATTTTATAAGTGAAACAACTTACATACATACATTAAAAAGATTTACATATGTCCGAAAACAAATGATTGTTCATATTGTCCAAAGGAATGAGGAGGTTTACAGAACGAGAACAAAGAAATAACATACCAACTTTATAGCCTTTGATTGCCTGCAGATAAGTGAATAGAAATTACTTTTTTCTTTCGCTAGGCCATGCACGGGTTGATCAGTTGCCACGTGTGTGGATGCCCTAGTGTTCAGGAAGGTAAAGAAGTCGTTCCTCAAAAAAAAAAAAACGGAAACAAAAAACTGAAAGGGACAGAAGAGTTCTCCTCTCTAAAGGGGCTGAACTCCTATGAGCTCAACCCAAGGGAAAACAACTGTGGTCTCCCTACACAAATATTATTCAAGTTTAAAATAACACAGAGATGAATTTTTAAACCAAGCAGTAGCTGTGTTTTTAACCGATAGTGTCCATGTTTAAATGTTTGACAAGATGATGACAGGTCTAATGTTGTTCTACACGTTTATATCCATAAAAAAAAAAAATCAAAATTCTTTAAAAACTATTGTTTTCTGCTGGTTGGTATTAGGCTTTACTATTTATGATTAGTAAATATAGTTTTCACTTAATAATAATATAATCTAAATAGCTAAAATCAATACAGAATTTTAAGAGACTCAAAACTTAAATTTTTCTAATTAAAATTTAAAAAACAAATGAAAACAATTCTTTTAAAAATTCATTATTTACCGAAATTTTTTGTTTTCTCAAGATATATTAAAGACACTGTTGTCTTATTTATAAAGCAATTAAAACCTTTCCCAATTAAATAATGTCAGTTTTATTGCATCTTTTAATTTCACGATTCAGAACAGATTTTCGATAAATGGTGTTCCTGCGTGGCAAAAACAAAATGATTGCTAAAAATTCTCCAAGGACTTCTGCTTTTAACTAATATAAATATAAAGAGGCTGAAGTTTTAATTTCTTGGAATTTCATAAAATATTTCTTCAAAAATTCATTGCTGGTAATAATTTTTCCAAAATACGGATGATATTAAAACCTATTTTTACACTTTCAAAGTGTTTTGACCTTAGTTTGGGGGTTAACTATTTGCCCAAAGCTGGGACCCTAACAGGTGTTACCACCCCGAGTCAGGGTGAACCTGAGAACACCGAAAATTAAGAGGTGGTTCTACGTTCCTCAAAACCTCCAGATGACAGGCCTTGCTGTTACTTACTTACTCACTTTATATAAAGCCGTCCTGAGTAAGTGAATTATCTGTTTCGAAAGGATGTCGCTGGCTGGTAAGTCGGAACTTCTGAAATAGTAAAATAGCAATTTTGATAAAACTACTGCATGCCTTTCTTCAGAAATGTGATTCCGCCTGATCAGACTGGATCTTGGGGTAAAATCGCCCTATGCTACAAAAAAATTACTATATATATATATATATATATGTGTGTGTGTGTGTGTGTGTGTGATGGACTCTCCTGTCGATTTCGACGTATGAGGATCCGACAACCTCATTCAGTTATGTTTGTATCGTATGCGACACTTCAGTTCTGCTCGTGACCTGCTTACAAGTCCACATATTGTGTAACAGCGGGGATCTCGTGACATAGCCATAGGAATATTTGTTGACGCTTTTCGCTATTGTCTTTTGTCTCTTAGCCAGTCAATATGACTGATTTCAAAGTTTCTGATAGCACTCTCGCATAAATATCTCCAGTTATTTCTCTCCAGGGCAACTCGCTCAAAGTTTATGAGGCACGTTGACAGCTGAGTGGTTACTCTTTAGGATGCCTTTATACCAGAGTCACAGCCGTCCAACTGTCCTTTGTCAAGCTGGCTATACATTAGGACCTTAGTTATTCTGTCGTCATTCATCCTTGCAATATGACCAGCTCAGGGAAGTTTTGATTGCGTTGTTTTCATGGAAACATTCCTGGAACAATATTGCTGCACAAAACATGGTCACTGCTGGTGTGGCGAGACAACCATACTCTATATGCTTTGAAGCATTCTTATAAAGAAAAAAACTGAGTGAGGATGTTATAAGTTTGCGTGTATGCACAACAGAGTTGAAGGTAAATCTGTGCCAAACGGCTTTACTCTGCGCCATTTGGTTCCTTTACCATAGCAACAGTTCAGATACTTATTGATCAAACCTCGAACTGATTGTGAACTAAAGATCGTAGCATTTTTATATGAACTCCAACAAAAATATTTAGATACTAGCAGCATGGCGCGGCGTTGCCCGTGCTTGATTCAAAAATCGTACGACTCATACAACAATCGCTATCGCTTGACTTAAAATATTTTTGCCCTTCCTTGCCTTTAAAGGAGTGGCCTTTGCCGTGCTGATGTTGCTACATGCCTTACTTCTTGCCTATCTCACACTGCGAATTTTTTCTAAGCGCTATACTAAACATTAAATCTGTTACGAAAAAAAGAACTAAACAAAATGAACACAAAACGATCAGCTTTTAAAAAAATAAATTCGTAACTGGAAAACCGAATGAAAAAAAATGTTAAATACTTTTCACACCCAACCCAGTTCTGCGGAATCAGAATCAACGTTGAGTTTAAGCAAGCGAATCAGCCAATTGGAGTAAAGTGCCATGCAGATTTAAATTTTCCCACTTTTGATGAATGCAGCTATCGATTTTTTTTGCATGCTAGTATGCTAGTTAATATTCCTGTCAGTCAGCTGTTGGCTCTCACGCTGGCCACTAGAATCTTCCTGCCTATTCGTTGCAGCCAGCTATTGGCTCTCACTCTGGCCAGTACAAATCGATTATTTCCACTATCAATGGGAGTTAGTAAATGCAAAGTCGGTGTTGGCCTTCTCGCTAACTTGGAGCATGTGCATGTAAATTTTGGTGCAAATCCGTCGAAAACTGCGGCCGTGCATTCGTCACACACACACAGCCTTTTATAGATAGAGATTTGTACAGAGATTTATTCAACGACTTACGTGATGTGTTCTACAACCTTTCGCCATCTGCCTGAACGTGGCATCTTTCTGGGTGATGAACTGGTTTTAGGGTTTCTTACAGGCTTCCCGAGATTAAAAAGTTTTCCCATTAAGGGCGCTCAAAAGAGGTAATACAAAACGTGCACGGCCTGTTCAGCACGGCGTATGTATTAGAACATCACAGGTAAGCTATATCAATTACTTATGTGTGGCATTTTTCTGGTAAAAGATGGTACACATCCGGAGGCTTTTCAACTATTGTTGCCTTTAACCGGTTCAGTTGCGAACTGCACTAAGCTGAGATCACGTTCTTATTTTGCCAAAGGAGTTCGTTAAAAAAATATGGCCACCCAATTCCATCAACTATAGAGCATCTTCGAAAACAGATTGGCTTTTTGAGTAATTAACAGTGGCTCATTTCGTTTTTTCTCCCACATCATTTGGGCTTCATAATATTGTAAACAATCCAGTTTTCATCGCCTATGATCGTTCTTTAAAAAAAAAAAAAAATGAATATTTTTTTTTTTTTTTTTGCTTTTGAGCAGAAAATCTTTAGGTTATTTTTGCTTAGCGGCATATCAACATCTACGAATTATTTAATATCGAAATCTAAATATTTTTTCACGCAATTGTATTAACTTTTTTTTTTTTTATAGAGATAATGGTTTTAGTTACATGCCTTACTAATTAACCCATAGCTGGAAAGAAGGAGCGGGGAGTTCATACCTTTCCCCAAGGGCATGTGCGCGTAAGCGAATATAACGAACGTAACTGGAATTAGAACTTGGCCATCTGTCTATTATTTCACACGCACATACAG